GTGGGGTGGACTGTGGACCTTAGAGGCAGGAGACCCCTGCAGTCTGCAGATGAGAGAAGAGTGGGTGCTGAGAGCAGCAGGGCCAGGCACCTGAGGAGGCATGGGGTCTAGGCAGGTCAAGGTTGCTAAGTTAGGAAACCAGGTGATGTGATGTTACAGACAGTTCCTAGGGATGGGAGGCTAACCCTGCTGGGGGATACCCATTGGCAGTTAGGCTTCCTGCAGGCTGCAGAGGGCTCTGTGAACCTTTGGTGAGTTAGTAGGAGCTGACCATGTGGCAGTGGGTGAGGCTGCCCAGGGACAGAGCCTGGGCAGATATGCAAGGAGAAGTTGACTAACAGGCCCAGCCAGCCAGGGATGCCTGGTGCCCTTTCGAACTCTGCCCTCTCCTGGGCAGGAAAGCATCCTTTTGGCAGGGACCCGGGCAGAGGTGGGATGTCCTTATAAACAAGGACATCAAGGAGGATCCCCGCCCCTGGTGTCTGTCAGGGAGCTTTGGAGGGTCCATAGGAATGCTGAGGCAGACAGGAGGGTGATAGCCTCAGGAAGCGCAGGCAGGTGGGCTCTGTTCCTTGGGATGAGCTCCGAGGCTGGTGCTGTCTCTGCTGGGAGCTGGTGATGGGGACAAAGGTTGGCAGAGAAACTTCAAGCCTTTAAAGTAAGCAGAAATATTCGACCACTACTTAATTTAACAAATACAATTTTCTAATTTCTAACTTTATTTTTACTGATGGTAAACAATACATATTTATTTTTAAAACTTAGATACATATCAAAAAAGCATAAAGAACTTAACCTTGTGTTGAGATAATACTGAATATATAACCTGCTTCCTTACTTAATATATCATGAGCATCGTTCCACTTCACTAACTACTCTGCAGAAACTGGGTAGTCACATGGCTGCTTACCCAGTCCCCAGTGTTGGGTGTTATCCAGTTAGCATCCTTCCTTTGTAAGTAACTTCATGTACATGTGTTTCAGCAGATGTTTTGCGAGTGTTTTCTGGATGCCAAGGGGGCTTGGGGACGAAGGTGAGTGACTCTAGATTCCTAGTCACTGCCGACATGAGGACAGACCCATGACAAGTGGCTGCAGGTAAGGTGCTGATCTAAGAACACACTGAGTTGAGAGGGAGCTGAGAAGGAAGCTTGGGAGAGAAAACCTGGGCCAGGGAACTGTGGCCTGAGCATCTGTCCATGGGCAGAGAGGGGACAGCCCAAGGTTACTGTGCCTACCAAGTGACTGGGCAATCAGATCCAAGAGACAGAAGCTTGCCATTCACTTTTGAAATCACTTCCTGCCCCTGGAAAACAAGGGCAGCACCAGTGCCTAGCATGTGTTGGGAGGCTGGTGACAGTGTTTGTGCAATTGGAAGCATTGGGGATACCTTTGAACTGGGCCGTGGACTTACCTCCCAGCTCTGCTCTGTCCTCAGGGAGCCCACAGTCAAGCTGGCCAGTGAAACTATAACCTCTGTCCTGGCTGAGGAATGTTGGGAGGCAGGTGTTCTCCCGTTGGTCCTCAAGCCTGAGAGCTGGGGGGAATGGGCCTTTTCTGGAGGAAGCAGCATGTGGCTGCCTTACATTCAGGGACACAGAGCCTCTTGAGGTGCTTCTGGCCTGGCTCTCACCCTGCCCGGGAGCTGGTGCCCTTAGAAGGACAATGGTGAGCTCACTCAGCTCCAGAGTTTTATACGCTTTGAGTTGGAAGAAGTGAGTTCAGGCTACACCGTCAGCAGCCCTGTGGACTTGGAGGAAAAGCTGCTCCTTCATGTCCTCTTGACGCAAAGGGCAAAGGTTGAGGCAGTCCCAGTTCAAGTCTAGCCTGAGTAACTGTTCTGACCCTCAGTCTTCTCATCCATCTGTAGCATGGTGATAATGACACCCACCCAACCCAGACTCACAGGGGTGGAGATGCTGCTTGCAAAGGGCCCCTTGGTTAAGGCCAGTCACCAGCCAGGTCACCTGCCTTTGCTGCCTCTTGGAAGGCAGACTATATGCTGAAACGCTCAGAGCCCCTTTCCTAGGGTGTGGGCTCCATTCCCCTGCTGCTCTCAGTCTTGAGACACCACTTCCTCACCTGTGCCCAGTGGCTTCCTCTGCGGGCAAACAGGAAGTCTCTCACCTCGAGGGTGAGGGTGACAGGCAGGGCTGCCTGGCAGGACTGTGTCTTTTGGGTCCTAGGAAGGGGGACACAGGGCGGGTTTGGGGGGCACAGGATATCAAAGCTCACCATTGGCAGGGCCTCTGGGGCCAGATCCAGTTTCCCCTTCCGTGCTTTCATATACACTGGCAGTTCTTGCTGGTACCCAGGGCTCCCTAGCTAGAGCCATGCACCTTGCAATGTGGGAAGGAGATAAAATTCTAGGAACCAGAGCAGAGCTGGCGGCTACAGGAGTCTGGGAGTCTCTTCCGGAAGTTGCTGTGAGCAGGAGCCACCCCCAGCCATGCTGTAGCTCCCAAACACACACACTGTCACACCCAAGGCCAGGGCCTGGAGCAGAGGGAGAGATGGTTCCTGCTCCCATTAGTGGGTCTGCAAGTGGTCAGAGAGGAGGAGGAGATGAGGGTGTAGTCACTCCTCTCATGGCAATGGAGCCAGGCACTGCACTACCTGGGCACTGTAAGGTGAGGGACCAGTCCTGGCCTTTGAGATTCACAGTAAAGGGGCAGGTGGACCCCTTGCCCTCGCCTGACCAGCCCCATTCCAGCCACAGGGAGTGAGGACCACTCCCTGTGGAGAGTGGAATGGGTCTGTGGAGAGGCTGGAGTGAGAGGTGGGAGGCTGACCCCCATCCTCAGCTCATGGCCACCTGGCTCCTGCCCCATCACGCTCCCCTCCCCGGCTTGTCCATAGCTCCCCTGTGGCCACATTCAGTGGTCATTTTGACTGCGTGTCTTCCTAGGCTTTGCAGTAACATTCCATAGAGCTGACCACATCCTCTTCTAAACTCACCTCCTCTCATCCTCTGTGATGACACTGTCTTTATGTCTCTCTCTCCTCCTTGACAGTGCAGCCTGCTGCTGGGCAGGACCCTCAGCCCTCAGCGTGGACCCCCTTTCTGCTGGTTTCTCCAGTCCGCCCTTTCTGTCCACTCCAGACATGGTGTCTAGTTGCCTGCTGAGTATCTCACAGGCATTGCAAACCTAGTATTTAAAAACAATCAAACTTGATTTTCTCTCCTAAGCCTCATCTCCCCAATTCTGTACCATTACAGCATATCCATCAGCACCCATTGCATTGCTCTAGTCAGAAATCAGGAAGCTGCCCCTATACCCCTTTCCTTTGTTCTCTGCAACTCCCTAAAGGGCAGATCCTGCCAACCACCCCAATGTGTACCCCAAGTCCTCTGTCTTCCCTCCAAGCCACATCTGCCTCCCCAGCCACTGAATCCCTGTCTTCTCCATTCAGCAGCTGACCACCTTAAACACTAACAGAAATGCTCCCTGACCTGTCATCTCTCTGATGACCACTGGAGACCCCAGGACCTGACCCTGCTGCTGCTGCCCTCCCCAGGCTCTCAGGGTAGCTGCTCCAGCCACACTGCCACTCCTGTTCCCTTAATTTGGGGACCTTTCCAGCCTCAGGTGATGAAGTAAACTGCAGTTCCCTCTGCCCACATTGCCTGCCCCATGCTCTCCACATGTGGGCTGCTTCTGGTTTATAATATGACATTGATTCATTCATCTACTTGTTTAATTCTGTCTCTGCCATTGGACTGGACGTTCCCTGAGGGCAGGTGTCTCACAAAAGGACTGTGGAACTGAATCCCCATCCAGACCCAAGGGGGCCTTGTGTGTCGGACTCAGTGCCCAGGTCTGGGCGTACATGCTGGGCAGTGTTGTAAGTGCCCAGACAAAAGGAACAGCTGGGGCAGGGGTGGGGGTGGTAATGATCCAGGTTTCACTGAGTTTGAGGTGCCCCAAACATTTTTCAGCCCAGAAGGAATAGTGGCGGCCCCTTCTGACATGGGGCATGTGTCCGGGTTATAACCACAGCTGACACACTGTCCCATACAGTGTCCCTGTTCTACCTTCCATCTTAACCAGGAATCAGGACCCTTGGTCTCCTGGGAATGTGGCCACTGCAGAGCCCACCCAGCTTCCACCCCCACCATGGCCCCCTTCTCTTCCTGTTTACCTCTCTGCCCTCAGATAGGCCCCAGCCCCCTAGGTCTAGGTCTAGGGCTGCCGGGAGCAGTGAAGCTGTGTCCCCGTGGGAGAAAGTGGCCATGTGGGCCTGGGAGGCAGGGAATTCCAGGCTCCTGGGGCCCACAGTGTGTAGAAAAGAACCTGGTAGGCATGGCCTTGTGGCCCCAGCCTGGGGGTGTGCAGCTGGAGGAGGGCTGGGGTCACCACCCGGCCCTCTGCACTGAGGGCCATGTGGCTGGTCTAAGGGCCCTGTGTGTGTGTGGAGGAGTCTCCTGGGAAGTTAGAGTTATAAAGACGAGCAGGGGTGTGGCAAGTCAGTTGTAATGAAGCTGGACAGGTAGCCAGTGCAGAGGGAGACAAGACAGCAGTGTGGCCCCAGCCCGTCTCACACTGCACGCCTGTGACCTGTGGCCTATGGACGTATGTTGGGAATTCAGCATGGGGAACAGACAGCAGTCGGCTCGTGTGCTCAGAGGCTCTGAGCTCTAGCCCAGCTGTGCAATCCTGGACAGTGGCTCGGAGTCTCTGAGCCTGCCTTGGAATCTGTGTGATGGGTACCATGATCCCTCTCCAGGAGGTAAGGGGAGTCGCTGAGGAGCCACTGGGGAACACTGTCACTACCAGACAATTGTATTAGGCCACAAAAATAGGACTGTTGACTGCCCAAAACAGAAAAGAACAGTTGCCCCACTGGGCCTCATGTGTCCCACCGGGTGTCTTGAAGGGAACTGAGAGCTGGCAGGATGAGAACCTGGTGACAGAACCACAGCAGGAAGGGGTGGGGCCTGTCACAGCCCAAGGCCTGCACCTTCCCCTTTCTGTTGCAGGCCCTGGGGGATGAAGGGTGTCCTTGGCGGGTTCTCTCTGGCCCAGGTGGGGGCCCTGGGGAAGGGGCCTGGGGACACAGGCCTGGGAGCGAGGCTTTTGTCTGTGGGCAGGAAGTAAGTGTGCGGTGCAGAGCAGTGGGGAGCCCCAGGGAAGGGGGAGCGGAAGTCGGACGCTCCAGTGTCACAGTCACCACTGCTCACCACTCTCAGGCAGACACACTGCAGTGACTGCTCCTGGGGAGCCCGGTCACCCAGCCTTTCCTGGGTCCTGTGCAGGTGAGCAAGGTGGGCCTGCTGGGTGGTCATGGGAGCGAGCAGGGGGAGCAGGGTTTGTGAGAGTCACCTGTGCCCTGTTAGCAGTGACCGGTGGGCAGGAAGGAGGGCGCTGGGGGCCCTGCTGTGCACTTGCTGTGCTGTGTACCACCACCTCTCCACCTCCTTCTCTCTGTCCCCCTCTCTCAACCTCCCCTGCCCATCTGACCTTCCTCTGATTCCTGCCCAGTCTCCCCAGAGCTCTTGGGATCTGCAGTAGTGAAGGTGGGGGGCATGGTGACTGCTGTGGCTGGGTGTCCAGTTGGTGCTCTTGGGGCCAGAGGCCTCAAGTGAGCCTTGACCAGTGAATTTTGAGAGACAGAGGCCAGACAGGCCGGGGTTTCTGTCTGGGATGCGGTCACTGCAGGGAGCTTTGGGGGGCTCCCAGATCCACCCAGAGAGGCTGCTTGGAGGCCGGGACCCGTTTATGCCTGCTGATCTGATGGGCAGCAGGGCTGGATCACTCTGTGTCCTTGTGTGGGGCACTCTGAGGCCTTCAGGTGAAGCCAGGCTTCTGGATGGAAGCCTCTTACATTGCCCCTATTCTGGAGCCTGACATGCTGAGAGTCACTCCCCCGGCTAAAAGGCTGAGAGAGGTGACCTGTTGTTCGCTGAGGACTGTGGGGCCTTGGCCAGGTATGAAGGATGGGCCCCAAATGGGCTTGTCTCCCCAGCCTCCTGGGGCATCTACAGACAAGGTAGATCCCCAGCTCAGGGATCACAGCTGCTGAGCTATTGATGGAGTTGTGGGGGTGGGAGGTGGGGGGAGGGTGGCGGTCCAAGAAAGGGTAGGGAGGCCAGCCTGGCCAGGACCCTCCTGGTGGTCCTTGCCTTTTCCAGGCTACAGCTGCTCTGAGACCTGTTGGTGTTCTGTCTTTATCCTCCTGTCCCTCATTCTCCCTGTCCCCGTTCCCTCTGCCCTTATCCTCCCTGTCACCATCCTCCCTGTCCCCATCCTCCCTGTTCCCCATCCTCCCTGCCCCCTTCATTCTTCCTCGCTGCCTAAGTCCTGGCTGACTCCACCACTGGGTCCTCAGTACCAGGGAGCCCCTCCCTCCCTGTCTTCCTCTCTCTGCACATTTGCATGAGGCTCCTTCGTGTGGCAGGAAGTGGGCCTGCCCTAAACATATCTTGCAGTGCTCAGGTCCCAGGTTCAGGCAGGGGCATCAGTCTTGCAGCTACAGATGCAGGACCCCACCCTTGGCCCCCGCCCTCAGGGACGACATTCTGACCTGGCTCCTGCCAGGACAGTACAAGGACAGGACAGGTCACTTCCTCAACCCCTGGCAGGCCAGGAAGTAAACCGTTTCGAGGGTAAAGAGAAGGAATGTTTGCCAAGTGTGGAAGCTTAAAGGGAGAGTGGGACTTGGGGCAGCTCTGGAGGAGGCTGCGGGCAAGGGTGCCTGCAGGGCTGCCTATGCTGTCAGGGATGGTGCCTGTAGGTTTATTTTCGCTTCTCCGAATGGACCTGAAAAGCCGCACAGCAAACCAGGCGTGGTATTTCTAGCGCCGACAAGACCCAGCCCCAGCCCTGGCTCTCAGACCCATTTCCGTTTTATAACCTGAGGACTAGCTTACTCCATCTTATACCTTTATTTTATAGACATGGAAGCAGGTGGGGTTTCTGACCAGACTCAATGGCTGGTCAGTTGTAGTTAGGATTTGAGTCCAGTCTGTGAGCTTCAGGTATGGGGGTGTAGGACGCCCAGGCTTTCACCTCTCCCTCCAGGCAGGCTGTCCTCAGCCCCTTGCAGGCAGAAAAGAGGGGGAAGCAAACCCACTGTCAGAAAGTACAGACCAGGTGCTGTGGGCTGCCTCCTGCCCCAGGGTCACAAAGAAGCTGCCTTGAAACCTAGCACAGGGCCGGGGTGGGGGCGCCACATCCTTCTGGTCCCCCAGGCCAGTCTCTGGGGACTTCACCCCCTTGGCTGGGTACAGGTGCAGCCCCTGCCATGCTCTCGAGAGCAGCCCAAGTTCAGCTGCCTGTGCTCAGTGCTGTCCCCACCACCACAGAGCCCACCCCTCGCTGTCTCCCAGAGCTCAGGCATCATCTTGGACCCCAAAGAGCCATCCCACTTTTTACAGAACTTTCCCTCAAACTCCCAAGCCCTCTTTGGACAGAACAAACCCACCAAGAGGCCAGTGGCAGACTCTCTCCCTCCTTTGTTCTGAGGATGCCTGAGACCAGTGATTTCAAGAGATTTCACTAAACACCAGGGGTTAAAAAAAAAAAAGGCAAAAAAGTAAAACCAACAAGATTCTAGATGAAGGACACCTGGCTGACCTCTGGCTGAAAGGTGCCATCCTTCAGGAACAGGTTGGTCTCCCCACTGATCCCTGACCTTTGCTTCTTGTTGGGTTAGGCTGCCCTCACCCAGGTGACTGGTGGGACTGCCTTGATGGTCATAAGTGATCTCATCCCTCAGGTCATCCCAGCCCTCCATTCAGGAAGGAGAAATTTAAAAGAGGAGAGAAAGGTTGGGGAGGGGAGAGATAGATAGAGGTAGATAGATAGATGAGAGAGAGAGAGAGAGAGAGAGAGAGAGAGAGAGAGAGA